TCAACGCTGAACCGCAGCCACAAGCCAAGACCTGAAAACACAACCCCAGCACCTGCCAAAACAGGAAACTGCAAGTGAACCACAGCTCATCCTCAGATTGAATACAAATCTGTAAATATGATGTTGACGTTTATTTGATATGGACACAGCAATTACTTTGGACAAGTGTGTTAGCACAAGTGCTAATTTGCAACACTTGTCCATAAGCACCTTTTCTAAAAAGAAGAACACATTTAAATGAGATACAAACAAATCAAATAAATCAAAGAAAACCAGATTAAAATTACAAACAATTTACAAAAATAAAAGGCTATTTAAGCAGCTGCTTAAACGAGTTTAAAACTATTCATGTGCACACTCGTTGTTGTTCAGACTTTAGCCATTTTTTGAGTCCTTTGTTAAAAACTTTACTGTCATTTTCTAGTTTCAGCTCAGCGGGTAGACTTCCACAGTTTGGCCCCCATTACAGAAGGAGCAGACTGGCCGAAAGAAGTCTTTCGCCAAGACACGAGACAGTCACCTCAAGTGGAGGCTCGTGTGATCAGTATGAGAGTTCTGACGTCTGACGGCCACAGCAGAGGACAGTATAGACAAGTTATTATTTAGACGTTTGAAAAAGAATCTTAAAGTGCTAAAATTAATAAAGTTTTTGAAAGTGAGAAGGTTATGTTTCCTTAAAATGCGACAATGATGATGCCATTTCAGTGGTTTCTGATCCATCATTTTTATTGCTTGCTTGTACATTAAGACAATAGGTTTCAAAGTGGGGGGGGGGGGGGGGGGGGGGTGACCACGAAAAAGATCATTGCATGCATGTAAAGTTTTGCAGTTTGGTGTGACAGTGATTTCAGGCAAACAGAGAAATGGGGGGGCAACGACTTTGAAATTATTTATTTTTCTTTAGATTTTGAGTTGATCTTTAGGGAGCCCTTTCCCTCCAGCAGACTGAGCACCTGCCCGATCCCGCACACCGCTCTGAAGAAGTCCAGGTTCCCAGTAAGTTCATGAAAAGCGAAGCGTGTTCGATCTTTAAGCGAGCTTCCACCAGGCCCTTCAGGATCCGCTCAGCATCAGTCCAGCTCTGTCCCAGCATCCGGTTTTTCCTGGTTTTCCAGATGGCTAGTTTTGCACATGCAAAGAAAAAGTTAATTAGCAATATTGTCCGTTTTTTTCTGACACTGTACTTGGGCCCGAAAACAAATAAGGATGGGGTAAAAGCCTCCCCCAGTGCACTGACCCACCCTAAACATCCCTGATGGCACAGAGAGAGAGAGAGAGAGAGAGAGAGAGAGAGAGAGAGAGAGAGAGAGAGAGAGAGAGAGAGAGAGAGAGAGAGAGAGAGAGAGAGAGAGAGAGAGAGAGAGAGAGAGAGAGAGAGAGAGAGAGATGAGAGAGAGGAGAGAGAGAGAGAGAGAGAGAGAGAGAGAGAGAGAGAGAGAGAGAGAGAGAGAGAGAGAGAGAGAGAGATGTTGGAAAAGGATGCTACAGAGACAAAACCGAAGTTGGTTTCATTTTTTATTTCTGATTGGAAAATGTCATTCCAGCTATTTTTCCCAATCCTTGAGCATCGCCAATCTGCTCTAATTACAAACTTACAATAGTTTGACTCTTCAAACCTGGATTAAATTATTTTACACCACTTTGTGAAACAGTTACTTGATTTGTGAACGTTTCATTCCAATTGAATTTCAGCACAATTTTTGCATCTAAATAACAGCATCATGCTCGTTTCAACCATCAGAAGTTCGTTTCACCGGGCCGTCCCAAAAGGAACCAACAGAGTACCTGAGCCGCGGTACATCTCAGAACGACCCAGTCAAGTCGCTGGGTTGGAACGGTGTTTAACTCGAGCTGGATGGTTGTTACTGAGTAGGAAATGACATCGGCAGACGTCAACAAAGAAACAAATGGAAGAGTTCTTGCTGAAGCGGAATGGAGAGAGAATAATTTAAGCAGCATTCACACTGCTTTAAAATCACACACACACACACACACACACACACACACACACACACACACACACACACACACACACACACACACACACACAGCAAACTGTGTATTGAACACCACCTTTTGCAGCTGCTCTCTCCATCGCCCTGAATGGATTAAATGACAGCGTACTTTGACAGCATAAACTTTTTAAATGTCTTTGGACGCCATTTGGTGCTGATCTGTGACATCACTGCCAAAGCATCCACGATACGCTGATGTGTTGACCTTAAAAGGCTGGTGGACCGGGCCATCGTATCTCCATGTCACTTTTCCTCCCCCCAAAATTTCGTGGAACTCTCAGAATGGAAACACAGCTGAAACTGGTCCAGCTCCAAAACCCAACTCCCAAAATCTTCAGACTTGGACTAGATTATTCTACATCAATGGCAAAGTCCATAAAGCAGGTGAAGATTCTGCCATTAGTGTAGATTAATCTAGTCCATGCTATCAGAGATTACAGTTAGAGCAGATTAAAGATGCTCGGGTTGTGGGAAAATAGTTGGAATGGACCTTTCCTAGTTAAAAAATATGAAAACCAACTTCAACTCCGTGCCAGAGTTCAGGAAAGACGAAACAACTCGGATATTTATATGTCGATGCTCGGATCTCAACACAAACACACGCGCACGCACATGCGCGCGCACACGCACACACAACGTGTAATATTATCTGCATCATATTACAGACGTTGGTAACTCTTACCGAAAAGCCGATGTTGATGATGAGAAGGACTTTAGAGACGACTCCACATCCGTCCAGAGCCATGATGGGCTTCTCAGTTTAACAAACGACTGTGGTCAAGTGAGCCGCACCTACAACTGAAGTGCGCGTTTAAACGGTAGTTTACGGTAACATCTCAGCTCTTCTCCAGCAGCGAGGCGGTGTTACCGTAAAGTACCATGTAAATGCGCACTTCAATTGTGGGTGCGGCTCACTTGACCACGGACAAACGAACGACGGCTCACTTGACCGCAGTTAACAAACGCACTAAGATAAAATTAAACTGCAAGAACTTGTTTAAATAAAAAGTGAAGATTAGGTGGAAAAATGATGCTAGGGACAAAAAAGAAAGCTTCTGGTAAAACCAACGTCTCTGTTTATGTCCGGAACACTTTTATCTCTGCGAACAGCGCGAGACTAAACAGGACCAGACGCATTATTATTTTCATTTTAGGACATAATTATTATCATAAATTTTAACTTAATTTAGCCATTATTTGCGCTAAAAGTTTATTTTTGAGGTCGACTACATTATTTTCAAGGTAGAGTTGAAAATCCTCTTTATTCATCTGCTTATTGAGATTTTTAAATTGTTATTGTTCAATTCAATTCAAAAATACTTTATTAATCCCAGAGGGAAATTGATTAAGGCGTTTATTAAGTTTATTAAGGTGTCGATCTGCTTCTTAATAAAAAGTAACTAGACGAATGAAGGTCTCGTGTTTTCATAGCACTGAGTAGAGTAACGAATTACTCGTCCATGGTTTGTGCTTATTTATTTATTTATTTATTTATTTATTTGTTTAAAAGAACCTTAAGACATTTTAGGGATTTGTATCGGTAATAACTGTCTTGCACTGAACTGTCGTTGAATCTGTATTGACAAGTTTACATGAAATGTTTGCTTTCCTTTAATTGTTTTTCATTATTTCTCAGTAAAATAAATAAACAGCATGTTAGGAGTTTTTATTGTTACTAAACAATATGTATTGTTTTTTAACACGCAATCTGTCTACAACATGTCAAGGTTTTTGTTTCTGCTAATTCTCTTTAACAAGTGTGCCTTGGTTTCATTCACTGTTGCATATAAAGGTGACTAGTTGAGACTTTTGGGACTTCAGCTACTCTGACTTGGGCTCCAACAAAAATCCCACTAGTTGGCAAAAAATGTTTGTTATGGAGCTGGTGCCCATCAAGTAATTCAGAGAAGTAATGAAGTAAAACAACTATATTCATTTTTTATTATGTCGAAAGAAAGGTGGTTTCTGTAATCTATCTACGATGTCCTGAAGATAATATTATCTTTTTTAAATTCCATTCCCAACAAACAGGGTAACTCCCCAATTAAATCAGCAGCTGAAAAACACGATTAGAGAGTAACAATTCAACTCAAGCCTTTTTACAACGAAACTATGCTTTATTATTATTATTATTATTATTATTATTATTATTCATTTTAATGCAGGATGAACATTTTCTTTAATGTTGTGTTTGTGCTCAGAAATAAGAACAATCTAATCAATATCAGAACACTCATACCAGACTTTAGATCCACATTTATAATGAAAAGTGTCTCCCCGTTGACGTGCTGTTCTATCCTTCAGCCACTTGAAGGCGCTAAATGATTCAGAAAGAAAACCCCTTGTAACGGAATACTGTGCGTTACATTTACCCCCATGTCCAACTAAAATATTAAATGAAGTCCAGACAACAGAAGCCAGATTGGGTCTCATCGTAATTATTTATAATTCTTCAATTTTTGAAAAAGCTAATTGTAAAGACCGGTTTGCATATGTATGAAACAATTAAAAATATAAATATTTAATGTAAAGTTTACATGTATTTAGGTTGCATTTTAAAGCTACAAAAGTCAAACATATCAATAAAACCTAAATGAATTAAATGTAGAAAATATGACTTTTAATGAATCTCATTTCTTTTCATTTTTGTCATGATAGTAACAAGATTTTATAATACACAGGCTATTTTAATACAACGTGAAGGAATGTGTTGACATTTTTTACTGAACTATGTAAATTGTTGCTGTTTTATTTTCTTTTTTTTGGGGGGGTGAAATGTATAAAAAATTGTTGTTGCTTTTTTCGATTTTTCTGTGTGTTGTTGTTTCTAATTTCATTTATTTCTTTATAGACTTGAGGAATTTTTCGTCAGGTCTAAAATCGGTTAAACAATGAAGGTTTTCGTTTATTCGACCAAAAGACTGAAATAAGAATAAAGGAGGGAGCGGTGAGGCGGAGGAGGAGGTGGTGGTGGTGGTAGGTGGCGTTGGGAAAAAGGAGGAGAAGGAGACCAGGGAAGAACAGACCTCAGACCAGTCGGTTTCACCTCAACGTCTTCTGTCTAATCACAGTCTTCGTGGTAAAATCTGACCTCGGATCAGCAACGCCAACACTGGGAGAGTGTGGGACTGAATCCAGAGGAAATCGTGCTCGTCGGTGGTGGCCAGGTCGACACGAGAAGACTCATCCACGAGTAGACCACGGCGGCGAGGGAACGGACAAGACGGGAGCGTCTGAAAGGAAAAGCGGATACGGAGGAGTTTTAACCCCGCAACAGCAGCCAGCAGAGCGAGCTCTGGCTCTCCGCTCCACGCAGGAGTAGTGTGACGTTCTGCTCATTTCCAACATTTTCTATTCTTGGCAGCGGGAGTGAGGAGCTCTCCGAGCCACATTTATAAGGAGAGCTAGCGGAATGTAATGCTAGCGAGCTGGCTAACGTTAGCTAGCTAATTAGCCTATCAGGCATTCGCGAGTCGGACGCTTGATTTTATTAAAATAGGTCACTGCTTGGCGACATCTGACTCTGTTAGGGAGAGCCTGCTCTATTGTTGCTCTTTACGGGTTCCTAGTTCGGCCACAATGGTCCTGCTGGCTTAGCCAAAGCCAAGTTAAGACAATAAACAGTGCGAGCTTTTCATATTGATGAAAATCTGTTCAATATTATCCGCGTTGTGTGGGAAAGCCATTGTGAAGCAAACGGAAGAAAGGAGGTGAAAACAAGCTGCAGACTTTTGACTTGTGACCGCCTGTCGTCCAATGTTAATGTCGACCGACGTTGCATCTATAATGCTACCCGTTAATCGGGGAATAATGGACCGCGAAAGGGACATTGATACAGTAGCCGCCGGACCTCATGCGAGCGCGGCCGCGGGTCCAGCGGTTGTCCGGGGGATGAAACGGGGAGACCCGGAGCCCGACGCTCAGACTGCCGCTGCTCTGACCGACCTGGCCGGGGCGGAATGCAAGAGACCACGGATAGACGGGACCGGGAGCGTGGTCGGAGACATCGGACAGGTAGGATTACTCTAAAACCCGTCAGACACATTCTTGTGTGTTATGTTCTCATCTCTTCTGCTCACATTTGCTCCTCAGCATCATCAGGAGGGATGTTTTGACAGGGCCCTAACTCTCTTTCAGCAACAACACAACCCTGTCATCTTTGCAACAAAGAACAAAAACATTGTAACCAGACAGGGGGTTTATAATTTAGAGGCCAGTGAAGGAATATTGCGAAATGTGTCTCGTTGAGACTCGGGCTGTGCAGTGAAGGAGCAGCCCAGACAAAGGTAATATGATCCAGGCTCCATTGCTATGACAGACAGCAGCACAGCAAAGATCAGACATTCATCATGCCTGTCTCATATGAAAAGCTAGTGCTTCCTCCCATCCGGCAAGATTTTTAACATGTTTTCATTCAAATCAGCTAAAAATGATCAAATATTGTCATTTTTAAAAATGGATTTTCCCTAAATCCTGACACATGGCTGCTCCCCCCTTCTCGGTGTGGCTAGGTGTTAAAAGAGAGAGGCAGACAGGGATTGGGGGAGGGGTCACCACAGTGAAAGACAAAGAACAGAGTTTTTTTTGTCGCTGGAGGCTGAAGGAGCAAAAGGAGGCTCAGGGGGGCCTTTCTTAACTGCAGGTCTTCGCTGCATTCATGACTCGACAGCTGAGACAGCAAAGCATCTGCAGCCGGTTCTGCCTCTCTGCACTGATCTACTGTCTACAGTAAACCACTAGTTCTCTGGATTTGTTTGCTATTAGTCCCTCCATCTCCTCGGCTCATAAACACGCCGCACAGCTCTTTTTCTTACACCTACACGCATACAGTTTGAACTGGCATCTAATCCAATAATAGAGCAGGACAGTTTAGCTGATGTCTGGTGTTTTAGTTCAGGAAAATGGCTCTGAGAGGAGCGGCCAGACACAGCATGAGGTCACCTGTGTGCAACCGAATCCAGACGAGTTGGTAAAGCTCTATCAAAGAGGGGGCGCGTGGTCGACTGCAACAAGCGGATAGCATCTATGTTAGCATAATAAAGAATCAACCTTTAAGATTGGGGTAGAGGAAAAAGTAGAAGAAAAGCAAAATGATACAGTGCTGTACTTCTGATATCTTCTGCTTGTTTTCTGTTAGATGTTTCAGCAAAGCAAACAATTTCTAGCCTGCCAAGCCGTCCTATATGTGTGAATATATGGTCTGACCACGACCCATAGACAGAGCTCAGTTGTGGGGCGGAATCTACGGTTGTCTTTCAAACTGTCTTCGCACACACCTGATCAGTGCCAGAGCCAGTCAGAGCAACAAACAGAGTGATGTTTTCATCGCCATGGCAACCAGTCAGTAGGGCAGTCTGCCTTACGCCATTGAAGTAGTTCTATTGAGTCATGTCTCAAAGAAAAACCCAAGTCTATATCGTCCAAAGTTGATGCCAAAATTGTTTCAAACGGGCACCGTTCCTTAACCGGCACCATCTTTGTAGTTTTTTTATATCGCAGCTCTTGCGGTAATCCTAACAAACGTAGAGCGCTGTGATTGGGCCAGTGGTAGACCTGCTGAGGTGTGGCTAGACCAACCTGTGTTTTTGCTGCTGCTACAGTTCGTCTGGATCATTAGGATAAACAACTTCATCCTCATGCTTCATGTAACTTGGACAAATACAAAGTTTTGTTTTTGAATAAAGATTAAATTCACGAAGCTTTCTAAACTGACCTGGTCCTATTAAGATGACTGATGCCTAAATTTAATAATCAGTTGTAACACACTTAACATCAACCAATATAATCATATAACTGGTAACGAATCACATCACAGTGTGTGTCCCATGCATTTATATAGATTTGTCATAATTCAGCTACATTGGAAGGTTTTCCAGCAGCACCGGCCTGTTTTCAGGTCAAAGGTCAGAAATTCTTCTTCAGGACGTTCTGCATCCTCAGACCATCACACTTCCACCACCATGTCAGAAATGCAGCTTTACAACCTTGTACTCACAAAGAGGGACTTTTTGGACGGTGAGCCCTAAAAGCTAGAGGGTCATTGATGTTTTTTGGTAAACGTGAAGGAGACTTTAGTATTCAGCAGAACGCCGTGTTCTTTTTGAGATCCTTTAGCCCAAGTGTTACTGATGTCATGTATTAATTCCACAGAGAAATGCAGCTTAGTGGTTTGGATAGTGGCCATTGAATAGATGCTGATGGAGAAATGGTTTATAAAAGCTGGGGAACAAAAGATGCACGACAAACGAGAGTGTGTGTGAGTAAACAGAAAGATGTGATGGATGCTTGGTGTGAGGACACAGGATGCAGGCGGGAAAGAGGCAGAAGGAAATCCAGAGCCATTAGCTCGCCTCCATACGGGATCAGGATAAGCGGATGAGAGAAATGTGACGGATGACAGGGGTGGAGGATCTGAACTGGCATGGGTAGCGCAATAACCCTCGATGGGGGGATACATTCAAAACAAAGTGACATTGAGGCGGGGATATGGTGGCAGTGGAGAGCTTTCCGAGCTCAGGGTGGAGAAGATGAGTTCTGGGGCTGCTAGCAGAACCAAATGCCTCGAACAATTAGAGCCGGACCCCCACTGAGCGAGGCAGAAGTTTGCTGACCTTCCAGGCTGACAGCAAATCAGCACTGTAATAATAAATGAATGGCGCCTCCGCTCTTTGTTGCTTCTGCTCTCCTCCCTCTCCCCTCCCATGTCCTCTGATTTGTGCCCCTCCTACCCCCCCAGGCGTATTTCCAGATTGCTAATTGACTTCTGCTTCGCAGGATTTCAGTGTACCAATGAGCCAGCACCCCCACGCATGCACTTTCTCTCATCCATCCCATCTCCCCCTGCCATCTTTCATCATCTCTCCCTTTCTCAGTTCATCTCCCATCACTCAAAGATGTCCTCAACGCCGTGCGCATGCTTTTGTCGTGATTTCATGCCACGTTTGCTTTTAGCCCCTCATCTTCTTTGCATCCCATCCCTCTTCCCTGTCTTTTCCCCCAACTCTGTGTTGATGTTTACCCTTAAGGCGGTGCTGTGGTCCACTCAGATGTACTGCGACTACAGTTCCTAACTCTCCCTCACTTTCTGTCACTCTCGCTGATGTGGAGAGCCGATTTGCCCTATCGTTGGCAATAAAGAGGCTTTGTGTCGCACTAATGAGACCAAAGCTTATTTAGGAGAGGGCATTAACCAGACTGATCGCCATAGAGGCCTGAGCAAACGGGGGGGTTGAGTGAATAGATTGTAGATAAGTTATTAGCAGCATAGGAAAATAAGCATTTAGGATAACAAGCAGTAAAGAGCAACTACAAAACTTTTAATGATCTGAAGAAATCCTCCATCTCAGCAGAGGCTTCAATTTGAATATCTTCGTTAATACCGACCTTTTTTTTTGCTGTTTTATTTTATACAAAACTGTTTAAATTAGGTAATTATGTTTTCATGTTGAGAAAAATTCATCCAACAAAAAATTAGTGGCCGCTGGTGAAAACAGAGAATCATGCTGTGGTTGATGGGCCAGAAGAAAATGACTATGATTAAAGAGCAAGTCACCCCTACCAGAATCTTACTCCAGTCCCACTTCCTGTTTGAAAAATGCAACAGATGCTGTTGCCTTGCAGGCCGAGAGGGTAGACCTGCGAACAAATACACACAAATACAGGCTCACAATGACATTGTGACATCATATGGTACCAGGTGACGTCATATGATACTTCTTGGCCATTAGCAATGGCAGATTTAACTTCAAATGCAGTGCAGAGTTTTTACCTGAAGAAGGCACAACACTGACAGTTTTAGATGGAATGTTTCAATGTTATCTAAGATGCAATAAAGTGCCAAAATTGTGACTACATGTGTCTGCAGCATGACCAGACACTCATTTTTATAGTTTATCAGCAAAAAACAATTTTTGGGGGGGGGGGGGGGGGGGGGGGGGGGCTATTTGCTCTTTAAATAGAATAACTCATGAATTAAAACAAAAAGACAATCATTTCAATAAGAACAGTGGCTAGTAAGCAGGTGGCTTCAGTTAGCTTAGCATGCTCACTGAAGTGAATCTTATTCATGAAGTCGTTATTTCAACACAAACATGGTAGATCTTCCTAAAATTTATTCTTGCACATCTTCTTCCATCCCTGCCTTGCTAGCGGAGCCACATCCGATGGACTCCTTGCCACGCAGCTGCACCGAACTACCAGTAGGTGACTCAGTTTTACACCAGCAAGGGCAAAGTTTCCAGCGCCCCAAAAAATTGAAATTCATCAATGCTAATTGGCCAAATATTTATTATGTTTCCCTAGTAACCATACATGATTGGCTGTTTAATTTTGCTTCAGGGACTGCTCTCGATGCCGCCTCTTGGCCAGGTCATAGTCGTCGTAGTCGGTAATCCACCGAGATAATATATATTTTTAAAAACAAGACTGTTATTATTATTAACTTTTTTACCAGGGTTTACCGCTACACCGGTTACCGTGACAACCCTACCAGGGAGGCATATCAGTCGATATATAAAAACTGGTAATTATCGGCCCGATATATCGAACGGCCGAAATATTGGTCTACCCCTAATTTTAGTACATTTTCTTTCTCGTAATATTTACACTCACAAATGAAAAACGGTCCTGTCACTTCAGGCAGCATTTTAATTTGTAAAAACTGAAAGACTACTTGGTGACATCACCAGTTGCCAAATATTTGACCTTATTAGGCAGAAAGTGATCTGAACAGGTTAGTTAGAATTAACCAGAGAGGTGAATCGCCCGTGTAGAACAGGGGTGTGTGGTGAGTTATTTTGGTTTGAATGGGATTTATAGAAGGTCACATATAATAGTATTCCGGTCTCTCTTCAGATTCCCTGTTTAACGTTTGCTGTTGAACTTTGAGCCGCAGCACCGTGGAGTCACCCTTGACTTTTGAACTGGCAGCGATAAGCTAAAAGTTCCCCAGACGAAGTTGCTCAACTCTTATTGTCTCCCCCTTTCCCTCCCTATCTCGCGCAGAGGCGCAGCAG